GATGTTGTTAGTGCTTCTTTTGACATGTAATGTACATTTATATCTACCTTTGAAAAAAATATGCTCTTATAGCTTCTTTGTGCATAAATTAGAATACAGTACTCTTTATTGTCTGTGTGGTCAGAAGCATCTCCACAATGTTCTTGCAATTACAAGATTAGTTTGAGTACATATGAATAAATGTTTTTTAGGACCTGTAAATGTAGAAGCTCAGATCCACTGATGCTGTAAAAGTCATTCAGATCAAGACCATCATATACTTTTGTGTTTATCCTCATTTCTTTATCACCAAATCATGTGTGGTTCTGTATGTGAAATGTATGTTGTTAATAATCAAATAAACAGAATCAAATTTTGGGTCACTTTCAGCTTGAAACAATGTGTGCGTGCACTTCATACATGAGTTGCTGGTGGCACCATGTTTATCAGAGAATGTGGTTGATCTCACAATGGTCACAATTCACACATGGCAGACACATACTATAACAGTCATTCATACATGGAGTCATGGCACACTGACAGAAGGAAAGCAATTAAAGATACACAACTACACACACCAACCTGCCATGCTTATACAAGTGCAAGGATTTGACATTGTAGCTGGTGTTAGCATAGGTGAAGAAACACAACACAGCAGAGAATATATAGTATTCACTATTATACAGCATTAGCTGTAGCACAGTCCTGCACTGGGTCTGGTACCTGTGGGTACAGGTAAGCCGCAAAAAGCTGTGTAACCGGCATAGGTAAAAATTAACTATACGCAGGCAGGCAGCAAGTGAGATTTTATATTTTATTTTTCAGAATAAAACAAATGAAAAAATGGGCAATATGTGTGTAATATCAAGCTGCAATTCCTTTTATTTTGAAAGTCCATGGCAGAAGCTGAACCTTTGACCCCATCATCATCACATTAGTCCCCAACGTGGAGGAGTCCAGCCATAGAACTCTGCAGCCCTAGGATGAGATGGCAGCCTACATCCAGTTCAAGACACCCAAGGAGGATGCTTTTGAGGTTTTATGGTGGTGAAAGGCGCATGCTAAAATGTTTCCTAACCTGACAGTGATTGTTTGAAATGTTTTCGCCATCCCGGTCTTGAGCGTAGCCACTTAAAGACTTTTCCTCAGATGGATTTGTAATCCAAGAACAGAGAACCAAGCTTAATGCAGGTGACCATAGCCTGTATATGTTTTATCACTGGTGCAGGTCGGGTCGCAGGACTTCTATTAACGAGCGTGGGCGGGTGTGGCTTTGATTTAGACATAATGACGGGTAACAAGTGTGTTCTGGTACTGAGCTTTACGGGTATGGGCGGGTGCGTGTTTTCAAAAATGGACCCACGCAGGACTCTGAGCTGTAGCACCACAAAGTATACATACTAAGTTCAATGTGCAACACTAATGTGTGTGAGCACCTGCCACCTAGTGCTACAACTCATGGAGGTATGTTATCAAGTGCGATGGACTAAAAGCCAGACTGGCATCATGTCATCAAGCATCAATGGTTAAGGCCACGCCCCCTTTTGGGGGGAGTTGCGCTGTCAAGTGAGGAGAGAAACAGGAAAATGCTGAAAACTGTTGTGTAGCTGGTTGTGACACAAACACAAGAATTCAGATCTTCAGTTTCCCATCCAGATTTGAGACACATAAGATTTGTGAATATTCATCGTCAGTGTGGTTAATGGCTAAATGAAGCTGGCAACAGTTACTACAGTTGGTTAGCTAATGTAAACTTGAGTGGGAGGCTGCTTCAGTACTGTCAGACAGATTAGGAGCAATCAAGATTGTTCTCCAACTGCACTGAGATCAAAAAGTTGGCTGACTGAAGGGAAATGACGACGATCAACCTTAATCTATTTGAGTATTGCAAAAGCTCAGGTTCAGGCAAGGTAGCAAAATAATTATTAGATCAATTTCTAAACTTTTTTTTTTATTATGAAATAAATACATTCAGAAGTATCAAAATATAATCCAAACCACTGTGCTGCATTGGATCTTCAGGTTTCCCTCAAAAGCGGCATGCCCATGACGTTTTGTGAAGCACCCCAGTCTGGACCATGGGATGAAGGAATTACCACCCACTAAAGCTCTTGCTCTAACACCTTGTCTGGGAAATCAACAGCAATGTGAAAACTGGCCACGTGTCCAACACTACAAAACAGTATGAGTAACTGTACACAGGGAATTGTAGGATCATATAGACGAAAAATAAAGTGATGTAGCCCCAATGAAAGTTCACTAACTTTAACTAGCATGTGTGATTACTGCTATAGCCAGTGTTAACTTTTGGTCAACACACAGAAAAGGAAGTATCACATTGACTGACCGACATTAGGCTACTGCTTAGAACAACTAAGACACAATCCACTTCCTGACTTTTTAAAAATCAAGGCAGCACAGATTAATCTATCTTGGTCTAACAAATCATTTTTGGCCATGCATAGTGAAATGCATATTTACTGGGTCAAACAGTCAGTACTCTCAGACCTGACGCATTTCACTTCGTACATTTTGGGTTGTATCTTTGTCACACCTGCAGCCTTTGTGGTTTCAGCAGGATGTCAGGGCGTTTGAGCTCTCACATGCGCTCGCCTCTTAATCCAAAGACCACTTGCAGTAAACATCCGGAACAGTAGAGTATTCATCAGGTCATATTCATCAGTACAGCCCCTACTGATATTACTAAGTATGCTCATCAGAAAACTTGTAGTTGGAGTACAACTGACAACAATAGACAAAAGTGAATGGTGTGCAGTTTTCGCATTTCCGCTGTTACAACACTCAGTATTAGTGCATAACATTAAATAAGGTAGCACAACACGCAGGGAGGCAGTGAGTAGTGTATGTCTAGCAAAGCATTTAAATGTTGCAAGGGTCACGTCTCTGGCTTGCATCAGAGCAGTGGTTCCCAGCCACAGGTCCAGATTTCTCATTAGTCATAAGTTTAAGGTCCACACAGTTCAATACATTCAGCGTCACACTTGCATTTGGCCATGTCCTCGAGCTAGTTTGCTGTCTCTGTCAAGTAGCTGTTAATCCCTCACTCTACTGCAGGAAACCACGCTTCAAAATGAAAGCTCTTTGCCAGAAATGTATTGTTCTTACATTTGTGAGTCTGTTACCATCCATTCAGAATGGACACGTGACCTACTTTTGGACCACGACCCACCAGTTGGGAACCACTGCATCAGAAAATAAGTCCTGACCTCTTTTTGAGGCTCCAGCTTTGATGTTTGAGTGGTTAAGCGGCTGGCATTTTACGCTGGTTTTCCTGGCTTTCTCTCGATGTTTCAAGTGGTTGTACTTCGCAATGCAGAATACACCAGCCAATATTTAACTGATAAGTAAAACAGTTTAATTATTATTATTATTGTGAATTCCGATAATTACATACATTAATGAATAAAGGAAGTTTACTCTAAATAACCTGCTGCTTCTCTAAACAGTGAAGAAAGAGCGTCAGGTAACCATTAATCAGTCCAACAGTATGTAAAGTCATTCCGACATATTTAAGGGCTGTACACATGCTAAGTCTTTAACTGCCCCTGAAAATGCATGGTCAGGTGCTGCGTGCTATTCTTGTGCCTTTTTTGTTCCAGCTTTATAAGAGCACAGCAGCAGGTTGCATCTGAGGTTGCTAAGCAACCTTAACAGGCACTGTATCATAGGCTGTTTACCTGAAATCCTAAGTGCAAAGCTTATCTTCTTCCAGGCACTGTTTAAAAGAACAGACAAAAAGCTCTGGTAGCTCTGCACAATGATCACAGTCTTCTCTATATTTATCACAGACTAATATTTACGGAAGAAGGGAAAGATATTTGTCGGCTGTGATTGGTTGGTCCTCATCACATGACATGCAGTTTGCGCTGCTGCATTCCAAAAGTTGTTTATCTCAGGGCACAGCCATTGTGCACTGAAAAATAGGAGTTGGAGAACACGTGCGTGCCATAACGGCATTGCTCTGGCGTTTGAGCGTGTCTATGTTTAATATAATGAATTAGAGGGCACAAAAAACGTAGCATGTGTATGGCCCCACATTCTCCTGCAGCATGTTTTTTTTTTCCTTTTTTTTCATTTGTAAGCTTAAAGAGTCTCTATGCGGAATTCAGAGTGTATGCATTGTCTGGACACAGTTCTCAACATGAAGACAGCTGAGCCAGCAGCTAGCAGCTAATGATGCTAACGCCAGTAAACAGTGCCAAACAATTCCAACAGTGCTGACAGAGCTAACAGTGTTAATCAGGGGGTAACCAGAGGGTGCTGTGAATGTCGCATACAGACCCTTTGATTTTTATTTTTTGTTATATCATATTGTCCACAAAAATACAGATAATTTTTGTTATTTTCTCTAGTTTTACTTGTGCCATGTTAATAATGTATGTGCTTTTGACAGTCATCTGCGTCTTTGAATGTGATTCCATTGAGCAGACTGCACAGTGTTTTTTGTCAGAACTGGAGGTGGATACATCTTTTTGTTCATTCTCACCTTCTCTGGGCTTTCTGCAACACATTTTTGATGTTCCTACGTGGCTTTTTCTTTCACTGCCTTTTACTCTGCTGTGACTTCTTGACATCCATGTCCTAACCCCCTCTTTCTGTGCAGTTTGTCACATGGAGTAACACACAATGAAAATAATTCTGATAATAACAATCAACGCTTCTCACCTTTATGTACCGATAGTTTGATGGAACTGCTCAAAATCATTTCTTTGTTTCCTGTTTAAACACACTGACAACCAGTCCATTACCAAATATTGAATAAATACACTGCATTGTGTCTTGTTACTGGTCTGTGTTATGAGTCGTTCTCCATATACCTGTCAGAATTTGCATATTATGTCTAAACCCAAACTTGACACTATAGATGGTAGTGAGCATGTGACCATGTTTCCTACACAGGGCATATGGTGTCATTTCAGGTTGGCCAATCAAAGGCTTTCTTGTCTCTGAAGAGTGGAGAAACCATTGATTTTCTTTTCATTCAACACAGACATTTGAACATGATGACATCTCCAGTGTTCACTCTCTATCTCACCTGTTTGCTCTTGGGGAACATGAGTAAGTTATATTTTTGTGAGTCCAACTTTTATCTGTTAGACAGTATGGTGTTTCTAATGTTTTTTAAAATACAGATTACATCGAATCTGTCACATTACACTAAGTCTACATTTGCTGTTTCTCTTCTATCATATCAGCTCAGATGACTGAACTGAAATCCTCTGTTCATCAAGAGAGTCGTTTTGTGTCAGTTAAAACTGGGGACAAGTTGACTCTGCAATGTTTCTATAAGAGTGATGTTGCAACAAGGCTTTTCTGGTATAAGCATTCTCTGGGACAGAAACCAAGGCTCATCTCTACCTTCTTTAAATATGACCTGAACAAGACTTTCCAACCTGAATTCAAGAACAATCCACGCTTCACACTGGATACAGAAAATGGTAAAAATCACTTGACGATCACAGATTTACGCACTTCGGACTCAGCTACTTATTACTGCATTAATTATTTATACACAATAGAATTTTCAGAGAGCATTACAGTTGATGTGAAGGGTTCAGGTTTGAACGTCCCAGCTTTGGTCCATCAGTCAGCGTCTGAGACCATCCAGCCAGGAGGCTCTGTGACTCTGAACTGTACAGTACACACTGGGAGCTGTGATGATGGAGAACACAGTGTTTACTGGTTCAAAAACTCTGAAGAGTCTCATCCAGGACTCATTTACAGCCATGGAGGCAGGAATGATCAGTGTGAGAGGAAAGCCAACACACAAACACACACCTGTGTCTACAACCTGCCGATGAAGAGCCTGAATCTTTCTCATGCTGGGACCTACTACTGTGCTGTTGCCTCATGTGGACACATACTGTTTGGAAACGGGACCAAGCTGGACTTTGAGCGTAAGTAATTTTCTAAAAGGGGTTGTCTCATTTGATAAATTGTCCTTCCTACTAACTCATCAAACATAAATTGAAAAGATCCTGAAAGCACTGAAAGCTCTGTTTCTGTCTGCAGATCAGTTGGGCTTGCTCGTTGTGGTGTATTTCTTGAGTGGATCTCTGGCATTCACCATCATCCTGGTTGTTTTACTGGCTCTCTCAGTGTACAAGATGAAGAAGAGAAACAGTTCCTCAGGTACAGGCAGTTGTAAGGGTTTATATCGGACAGCTTGTATTTATTGAATTTGGCTTGTGAATAAAGGAGTGTTTTCTGTGTTATACAACCAGAGTCTGAAGCAAGATTTCCAGCTCCGTCCACAGCAGATGCACAGGTAAATTTAATGTGTTCAGATTATTTGACCTTTTTAATTACTGTCAGAGACTATGTTATGATCTACCTCTTTTATATTTTGTTACCAGGGTTTCCAAGACGCAGGCAGCCTCCATTATGCTGCTTTGAGTGTTAACATGCCCAAAAGTTCAAGAAGACAAAGGACCAACACTGATAATGAATGTGTGTACTCCAGTGTAAAACACTAGGAACTGTTCAGTTTGCATTTGAGCAAGATGGCAGTATCGTAGAATCATGTGAGGAGTAATGTTGATTTAGGTGTAGATACTGAGATAAACAAGGTTTATCGTGTAGTATTGTTTTTATCTTGGTGTTTTCCACAGGTTTTATTGTTTCCTGTATCTAAAATCCTAACGTCATATTATGTTAGTAATTACAGCAATACATTTAGTGACATGTTGATTTTTCCACTGTACGACAAGCTTCTGTTGGGTTTTGAGGACCTCCACGCAATTAGGTAGTATTATTTGTCTCTAATTCTTAAAGTTTATTTATGTGCATCATGCATTTCTGTGTACTTGTTGTGCTATTAATGATCAAATAAATGTAATCTATCACTGGAAACTTTAACTTGGGACATGTTCAATTCCAACCGTGTCTCACTCCCAACTCATCAAACACTGATGCTTGGGCAGTGGCCCTCGGTGTCAGATACCAATGCACAACGTGGGCATTAGTGTCAGATACACTGGGCAGCATCTTGATGTTTCGAGCAACTGCTGTAGTATACAGAGCGTAAAAGGCGGGTTGGGTGAGCTGAAGTAGATGTGGATGGGTCAAATCAACTTCAGTCTTTCACCAAGGAGACCGCTGTTTGTGTCTCATGTCAAACTAAAAGTCAGTCAAGTTACTTTTAAGACCAGTGTGTAGAATTTAGAATATAATAACTATGTTGTCATTAGTTTATAATCACCTGATACTAAGAATCTTTGTGTTTTTATTACTCTAAAATGAATGGTTTATATCTACATATAGACCAGGTCATTTATCATGAAGTCAGCCATGTTGTTCTACTGTAGACCAGAACAGAAAAACCAAACACTGGCTCCAGACATGGCCATTTGTGTAATTGTGTTGGCCACCGTAGTTCTCCGACATGCTTGGCACATAGGAGAAGTTTCTGTTGGTTGCAATCTGCAACCTCATCACTAGATGCCACTACATCCTATATAATAGACCTTTAGTTATGACATAGCTAGAGACACATGTCACGTGAAGCATGTGACGTTAGTAAGTATGCATGATAATATCGGTACATCATCAGTATCGGCCAATATTGGCTTTAAAATGAAAAATCTGAATCGGCCAACATGCTTTCTATTATTTTGCATAAAGAATGGATATTACATACATTGAAAAGTAGGGGTGACCCAAAAAATTCGAAGCTTTGAAGCTTCGTTCGATGGCACGGGATTCGAATGTAAAAAAAAAAATTTGTTTTGTATTTTCCGCCTTAAACGCAACACTAACCCCCACCAGTCTGATACTGACAACGAGCGCACTCAGAGCTGGCAGACATGTCCAAGAGGTCATCAGATGTGTGGTTGCACTTTAAAATATGCCCCGACAAGCCCCAGAAAGCAGAGTGCCAGATTTGCCAAAAGCAATTGGCATATCACAACTCAACAACAAATTTGGGAAATCACTTGAAAAACGTAAGTATTAACTAGTAGGCCTAATATGCATTTTCCAGTTCCACCGGTCCGCTCTGACTCTGGTGTCAGAGACACTTCTGATGCTCTGAGCTGCTCTGTTTGATTGTGCTGCAGTGTGCGCTGAGGGTTTTAATTTAGTGTTCAATCAAAAGTTAAACACTACTTATCACCGACCATTAGTGTTTTTTCGTTTGTGAATATTTTTATCTTAATTCTAGTGTTGGAAGAAACTATGTTTTCACCATAATTTTTTTTTTTTTTTTGTGCATCCATAGACGTTAGTAACAAACATACTCATTTCAAGCCGTACCTGCATATTTTTTGTAAATCCAACCACATACCTTTGTTGCCGGAACCTAAGGAAATAAACCTAAAAACAGAGTAAACTTACATTGGAAGTTTATTTTTAGAAGATAGTTTTTTAATTTAACAAGCAGGAACTGTACATTTCCTGCAAAATTTATTTAAGACACTGCATGTAACAAGTGTAACTTGAAATGCCATGCCGGAGCGTCCACAAACTGACACTAAAGAAGTCGAGCATCACAGTGTGACAAGTAGGGCCACTGTCCAAGCATCGGTAATTGATGAGTTGGTAACAAAAATGTGTAATCAATCTCTGGTAGTGACACATCTTGCTTCATCAGTATGCACCAAGTGTACTGGAGAAAGCATGATGTGACTGCTCTCACTCATCCCTGTCTCATAGTGGAAATAAAAAATAATTCATGAGCTTTCACCTGCTTTTTCGACACACATTTGGTGTAGATATGAGGAGAGCCAAAGTGCACTGGTTTAGATAGTGTTTCCTGTTGCTCATGTACAGAAGCCCTCTTAAGACCATAGAAAAGGGTTGTTCCCAAGCACTGATCAAAAAGGCAAACACCTTGACAAATAGCAAAAATGGACATTTTAGTTGTGACGGCTAAAACTTGTCAAAAAAAGTAAGAACTAAAAGGGATATATATCTTCCTTGCTTGTAGCGAATAAAACAAGTCAAAAGAAAGTTTAGCCCACAAGGCAAAAATTTACACCTCACCTCCCACACACACACACACACATATCTTCTTTGGTCATTGCCTTTCCGTCTTCTTCATCCTCTCATCCCCATACCTTAACTCCGTCTATCTCTATGCTGAAATGCCAAACTGTCACAACAGTCTGCGTCCTTTCAGAACCCTTAAGGCTCCAGTAGTTAGTGTTGGCTTTACGATTAGGCCTATCTACCTTATAGTCATTACTCTGGGACCTGTTGACCTCCACCCCCATACTTCTTTGCTTTGCATCTATTTTAGCGCAGCAGGCTTTGTGGTTTCGGCAGGATGTAGAGGTGTTTGCACTCTTATATACAACAGATGCCCCTTAAAAGAATAACCACACCTCCAAAAACAGTTCTGTGATCATAGATTATTTGTTATAAAACTCCTAAACTAAAATACTGCAAACACCAAGAGAAGAATTACCAATAGAATATTGGTTCTAAGATGTCATATTGAAGTTTATAGTCACTAGGCAAAAGAAAAGGACATATTTAAAAATATATTTTAACTGAAGACATTAGAGTGTCTGCTACTACATTTAACTAACATGTTATAATTTACAAAAAATAAAGAACTTCAAAGTCAAACGCCTTTCCAGACTTCACCGTTGTATCTATTTGCTTTTAAAAAGGTCCTTTATTATGATTACCTGAACCTCTTCTGGAACTATTTTAAACTATTCTATAAACACACAGCTATGACAACATTACATTTTCAGTATTACTGAGCCAGTTAGTCACCTATTGTCAAATGAGACGCAGAGCTTAAGAGGGCAACTATTTACTGAAGACCAAATTATTTATCATCCACCCAAACAGGAACAGTCAGAAGGTTGCAACACTGGTGTCGGAACATCACGCGAGGGGCATGATGAAGTACAAGTATTTGACAACCTGGGACGAGAGCGCTATGGAAATACCTGCTGTTTGCCTAATCCACTGGCCCTTTACCTCCTTCCAAAGTGACAAGCTAAACCAACAATCCATGACAAGTAAATAATCTAACAGCTAGCTTGTATGTTTTTATTTGTAGCCTGTTATACTCACATTTCCTTAGCATTAGCTATGTTGTCAAATGCTGTCATTATCATTTTTGTTACAGTGTAGCTTGGGTAATCAGCAAGTAACCGGAAACATTGCCAGGTGTATGGAATAACCTGCCCTCGTCGTCCCAAACAACAGCCCTCAGTTCTAAAATTACTGTAGTCCATACCCACTGAGTGCACAGTCGCCCACGTACAGTTTCACGTGGTGTGTGTTTGGGATACAGGTCATAGGAAATTGCAGATTAAATAGTCAACTGAACCCATTAAGAAGAGCAATGTATTCAGACAGAGTTTTTGTGAATTTGATAGTACAATTGCAGCCACAGCGATCTCTCGCATTTTAGCCATTTTTCTGTTGTTATAGCGCCACCCAGTTGCCAATTAGAGTTCAATTTCTCCTGTCACCTTGAGGCGTCCTGTTCTACATATCTACCAAGTTTAGTAAAAATCAATATGGTGGTTAGGCCTAGATAAGAAATTAGCTCTCTAGCGCCTCCATTTTGTTTGATTGGGTTAATAATGGAGGGGTCCACTCAGATTATGTGCGGTCATATGTCTACAAAGTTGCGTGGTGATCGGTGAAACCCTTGAGATGTTATACACCTTTATGTGATGAGCCACGCCCTCTGCAATATTCATTGCCTTATAGAAGCTCAGTGTTAGTTAGTTTTCCAACTTTTGCTAAGAGGGAACTTTAGATATTGGTCCCTAGATTATGTTCACCAAGTTTCATACAGATCGGTCAAACTTCCTAGTTCCTAATTCAAAATGGATTGACCAAGTCAATGAGGAGAAAAACATGGAACAGACACACACACACAGAGTTTTCGTCATTATATAGTAAGATCATGGCCTCTCGTGGCTTTTTTCTTAATTTTACTTCTGACACAACCTCAGTGCAATGGAGGTGAATGGATTTTTGCTTGTGGTGCTTAATCCCAGTTAAGACTAGAAAAATTGAATTGAAAAACAAATAACTTTCCACTAACAAGAACCTCATTACTGTGTATAACCCGCATTTTTAAGGTTTGACTGAAAGGAAATATTCAATAATTTGTATGAATGTTAACTTAATGTCAAAGTTAGTCTCCACACAGAAGCTCCAATTACAGTCTTCCTTCGCAGGACAGGGTCAGTTATATTTTCACCTGTTTATGAACTGCTAAGTGTCATTTGCCATGCTATATCTCTCTATTAGGCAGGTAGTGTAATCTACAAAGAATCATGCCTGCATGTTAGTCTGCTCTACATAAGTAGTTCATGTTGAGCAAAAATGAGTGCAGGTGTGTCTTGTTACTGGTGATACAAATAAGGATTTTTTTTAATAATCCAAAATATAATGCCAACATGAATAACCACAAGGTCCACAGTACCTCTCACCATGTGATTCTATTCAAGGAAACAAATGACACTGTAGGGGGCAGTGAACATGTGATTACATTTAACCAATAAGGGGACATAGTGTGTCACTTTAGGTTGGCCAGTCAAACAAAGTCTTGTCTCTGAAGACTGAAGAAAAGATCAAGATTCTTTTCATTCAACACGGCAGTTTGAATACGATGACATCTCCAAGGTTTGTGTTCTATCTGACATGTCTGATCGTGGGGAAAATAGGTGAGTTGTGTTTTTGTGATTGTCACACCTCATGCAAATATTTCTTATAATCAACTATGCTGAATTCTATCACATAAAAATTAACAATACATTTGCTTTGTCTCTTGTCTTTCATATCAGCTGCTGGAAAGTCCACTGCATTTAATCATGAAGAGAACAGTTTTGTATCAGCTAATGTTGGTGAAAGCTTGACTTTACCATGTTTCTATGATGGTGATGATTCAACAAGGATTTTCTGGTACAGGCAAAGTCTTGGACGGAAACCACGGCTCATCTCTACCCTATATGCGTTCAATATGAATGGCACTTTTCATGATGAATTCAAGAACAACCCACGCTTCACATTGGATACTGACTTTGGTAGATATCACTTGAAGATAACAGATCTGTGCACTTCAGACTCAGCTACTTACTACTGCGCAAAAAGGGTTTTATTAACTACTGAATTTGCAGCAAGTACTACTGTCAGTGTAAAGGGTTCAGGTTTGAATGTTCCAGCTTTGGTCCATCAGTCAGCGTCTGAGACCATCCAGCCAGGAGGCTCTGTCACTCTGAACTGTACAGTACACACTGGGAGCTGTGATGATGGAGAACACAGTGTTTACTGGTTCAAATATTCTGAAGAGTCTCATCCAGGACTCATTTACAGCCATGGAGGCAGGAATGATCAGTGTGAGAGGAAACCTGACACACAAACACACACCTGTGTCTACAACCTGCCGATGAAGAGCCTGACTCTTTCTCATGCTGGGACCTACTACTGTGCTGTTGCCTCATGTGGACACATACTGTTTGGAGACGGGACCAAGCTGGACTTTGAGGGTAAGTAACACTCTAGCTATTTTGATAAATAGTCATTTAAGGTTACTTTACAATCAACTTAACATGAACACTCAAGATAAAAGCTAAACTCTGTTTCTGATATCTGGCTCTCAACAGACTCTCTTGACTTGGTGTATATCTTGAGTGGAGCTTTGGCATTCACCATGATCCTGGTTGTGTTACTGGCTTTCTCAGTGTACAAGATGAGCATGAGAAACAGCTGCCAATCCACAGGTAACTGGTATTTTATAAATCTGGTGGCTTGGGTTAATGGAATCTGGCTTTTGAATTAAATAACTTCTTCTGTTCTTTACAACCAGAGTCTCAAGCAAGATTTTCAGCTCCCTCCACAGCAAATGCAGAGGTGAGAGCAGTTTACATTGACTGGTAAATTATCAAGCAAACATGTACAACAATTACTTGTCTTTAAATTTTTGTCAGGAAGTATATTGCGATCAACTTTTAAATATTGTGTTACCAGGGTTACCAAGATGCAGAAAACCTCCATTACGCTGCTTTAAGCGTCAACCTGCCCAACAGATCAAGAAGACAGAGGAACAACACCAATGATGAATGTGTGTACTCCAATGTAAAGCAATAGAACCTGACATGTTACATCTATAGTTTGTGAGTAAGATGGCAAAGTTGATGAATCTCTCTGAACACATGCTGTACATTTAGATACTAAATGTCTGTTTAGATATTTCTCAACCCCCACGGAGTCATCCCTATTGTTCCCCAGGTCCTATGTTCCCCCCTATGTTCTGACATACATAAAATCACATAAAACCGATAACCAATTACAACCTAGAATAACCTACATTATAGTATTTGGATATGCGCGTCACATGTATCTATATCACATGTATCACTATATCTTATATGCAACATTGAACTATGCGGGAAAATGCTGAATTAAATCAGGGAAGCACCACATAGGCTATTTGTCACGGAATATGGCAATTATAGTGGAGAAAATGAGCCCTCTCTAAATATATGTGGCTCTTGGAGAGCATTGTCTGCGCCTTTGGGCAATGAATCACGTGATCACATGAGGTAAGTGCATTTCGGGGGGAACATCAGAGCCGGGGAATATAGGACCCTTTTTCGGAAAAAGGGTCCTATGTATTATGGGGGAATATAGGACCCAGGGAACATAGGTACGGTCCCACTCCCACCACCCCAAACAAAGTAAGTGATAAGAGTGTGGTCTAGTTTTTATTTTTGGAAAAAATTGCATAAGTTTAATAACTGTAATTCTGTTAGATTAGATTGTTTTACATGCAAAAATAATTATTGACAAGGGAAAATAATGTTTGTTTGACATTTATATAGCAACAAAATACATAATACATAATGTGATTGTGGTAATTATCCACAAATAAATGAGGCTTTTCAAAATAATTAGGTTGTTTGTGGAAACACCACTATAAAATTTTATCTGAAGCTGTTGCTCATTACAGACACATGTCTATGTGTATTGTAATTAAAAATGTGATACTTTGGCCATACTTTAAAAAAAAAGGACGACATGATCAGCCATTGCCCTGGTTACCCAGAATTTGTGGAAGGAGCCACTGGAAGAGGACTGATGGGAGAGGATGGTACTGAGAATTATTTGAAGAGCGACATTTAAATTGATCTATGATTTTTCATGGGACTGTGCACATAAGAAAAGAGGTTTCTGGGGTTATTTTGCAATAGTGTGGGGCAGATTGCAGAAAATGTAACCTGTGGATCTGCCGTGCATCATCATGCCTTGCCAGTGTGAAACATCACTCCACCTTAGTGCAGTGGGGAGGAGCTGCGTTCTTCCCTGTGTTTTGTTCTGTTGACAGATTCCTTGTCATAAGATTTAGTAAGCTGCATAATAAGGACCCACTACTGTCTTTGTTATTTTTGTATGTGTGGTTTAAAGGATGTCTACAGGATGTTAGAGTTTCAATTACAAAAAACATGCATCTGAAATCTTAATTATATAATTACTGCAAGTAAACCAGAGGGCCAGATTCATTGATGCTGTACAAAAACTTGCTCTTGGGCCACGAGGACCATAATGTGAAATATTTACCAATAAGTGGCATTATTTGTCTTTTGTGCTGATGATGATTTTTATCCAAAATAGTTGGATTGTCCATTTCCATGAACATGTTAGGCCAAATAAAATAAATACATGAAATCTATTTACAAAAAACTTTGACTATGTTTGTGTGCTTTTGTTCAGTCCATGATATTATAACATACCATTTACTTTTGTTGGGACCAGTGGATTCCACTGACGGTCTCTGATTCCACTAATTAGTGTGATGTGAAATGGACTCTTAATGTGATATTGCAGAAACTCCATTTCCTAGACTCCTCAAGTTCCCCACAATCCTAGGTGTGAAACCGTGCACATCGTGCCAGTCTTCATTCACCATTCATCACTGTAGCATGTGACCTACAACATTATCAGGCCAACAGATGAAGCAACTTTCTGTTTTTCTCAATCTTTTTTTTCTGGACTCACCACAAACAAGGGTCATTGCTGCAGGACAAGCTGCCTGCCCCTCTGCTTTTTCTCACCTTTCTGCAGCATAAAAGGCTATCTTCCACAGTAGCTCTGTGAAAACCATTGTCGGCCTATACAGCAAAAACACAGGATTTCTCTTTCTTCAAAGCAGAGGCCTGTCTGAGGGTTCCTGGTAAACAAGTTGGCGTTAGCATATACACAACAAAATTTGTTAACTTAGCAACAAGGACAATAAGCCAAGTTCGTGCTGAACTGCTAACTCTGTAAGGGTAACAAAGAGCAACCAGTTACCTCTGACCTGCACCACTGAAATACAGCACAGCAAAGATTGCACAGGCATCACAACTCCTCACAGCATTGTTCATTCACAATGGACAAGATAACCACCAACAAGCAGCAAAACCCCAGTTGTTTACTGACTGGTAATGTAGCTGGGCCTAGCTAACATTAGCACAGGAACAGTAAAGGCAAAACAATACCATTAACTTCTGTCCATGCATATGTAAAATTATTGATTTGATTAAACTCTTTTTCCTGGCTTATTGTGATCATTTTGTCGACTATTGAGTAACTGCTAAGTTGGTATTACTATACTTAATACAGACAAATGTATATGCATTCAACTTACCAACCTTTGTACTAACCCAGCACCTTTTTCCTACACAGACTACACACCCCAGGATTTTGGTGTACCCCAGGGTTCTTTGTTGGGTCCACTGTTATTTTCAGTATATTAATAGTCTTGGTCAAAATATGGATGGTGCCAATTTTCATTTTGATGCTGACGACACAGTGATATATTGTACCGGCTCAACCATTACGGAGACTGTGGCCAAATTGCAGGCTGTCTTTAAACCTATGGGCCCAAACGACGTGTAGTGACCTGTTCTTCTCTATGGATTTTCTCCGCAACCGTGCGTCATAGTGAGAAGCCACTCATATCACGTGAAACAGCGGAATCGTAGCTTTTTGACAAGACCAAGACTTCAGTCCAATGTCTTCACAGCGAAAAAAAATAATGAGTTAAATTACACAACATTATGTATAACAAAAGCTTTCATACAGCTTTGCACACACATTACTATGGGATGGGTTACTCGCGAATGCGGGGTTGCACAGAAATGCCATGTATATCACATGAAAGCGCAGGACCGGAGCTTTCCAGTGATACCATCATTGTGCTGTCATCCCATCACGCTATAAATCCAGATCAATTGTCTACAAAATAAAAACCTGACAAATTTCTTTACAATTCATTATACAGATCGTTATCAGTCACTTCATATAGTGAGGAATATCGTATCTTACCACATCTTAGGCTTGCGTGTGTTTCTCCCTGTCTATCCACATTTGTAGTCCGGCTTTCAAGATGCTAATATCTCCATATTGTCCAGTTGACACTCCATCAAACTTTATATGACAAGACCAGCGCACTTCACCTTTGTGCACCCAGACAACTGTAGCTTAATTATGCATGCGTGACAGGACAGTAGTCACCATATACATTGAGGGGAAAACGTCCCCCCCAATGCCCAAAATGTCCCCCCAAAATATAACTGAAACTGAAAAACAACAACAAAAAAAACATTCAGGCCAGGTCAAAGAGCAGCACGGAGCACAGAGAAGTCAAGATCATGTTGACAAGAAATCATCCAGAATATTTTTTTACAGCGAAGTGGCAAATATTATCTTGGAGGACATCATTGCACTTGGTTGACTATTTTTCTATTATCTTAGATGTAAATATTGCATGTTTCTTTCAGATAAAACACACTTTTGACTTGTGAATGAGTCAATGTAGTTAACATGTCACTACAATCTGGAACATTCCCAAAGGCCTTGAAAACTGCGGTCATAAAGCCTCTCCTAAAGAAGAGCAGTCTTGATGCCACAGTACTGAACAACTACCAGCCCATTTCAAATCTGCCGTTTTTAGGCAAAGTCCTTGAGAAAGCCAACAGCTTACTGACTTTCTCCTAAAGAACAACTCCTTTGATGTTTTCCAGTCAGGTTTTAGACCCCATCACAGCACTGAGACCGCTCTTATTAAGGTGACAAATGACATCCGCCTGAACACTGACGGAGGCAAAGTCTCAGTTTTAGTCCTGCTAGATCTGAGTGCTGCTTTTGACACTGTCGATCATGAGATCCTTTCACAGAGACTAGAGGACTGGGTGGGCATCTCTGGCACTGCCCTAAATTGGTTGAAGTCCTATCTAGAAGACAGGAAGTACTTTGTTGAAATTGGTAACTGTGTCTCAGACCACATGGCCTTGACCTGTGGGGTGCCCCAAGGGTCAATCCTGGGACCCCTTCTGTTCAATCTCTACATGCTGCCTTTAGGCCAGTTAATACAAAGTAATAATGTGTCCTACCACAATTATGCAGACGACACTCAGATCTATGTCTCACTGACAGCAGGTGAATATGGACCAGTGGATTCACTCTGTCACTGCATCCAACAGGTCAGTGTGTGGATGCAAAACAACTTTCTCCAGCTAAATTCAGACAAGACTGAAGTCATCGTATTTGGTCCACAGAAACAAAGAGAAAGTGTCAGCAGTCACCTCCAGTCTCTCTCTCTAAAACCTACAAATCAGGTTAGAAATCTCGGGGTAATAATGGACTCAGACTTGAACTTTAACAGCCACATCAAATCAATAACATCAGCAGCTTTTTACCATCTAAAAAACATTGCCAAAATCAAAGGTATAGTGTCTAAACCTGACTTGGAGAGACTTATCCATGCATTTGTCTCTAGTAGGTTAGACTACTGTAACGGCCTGCTCACTGGCCTCTCCAAACGGGCCGTAAGACAGCTGCAGTACATCCAGAATGCTGCTGCTCGGGTCCTGACCAGAACCAGGAAGTACGAGCACATTAGTCCTGTGCTCAGGTCTCTACACTGGCTTCCTGTGGCTCAGAGAATAGACTTTAAAGCAGCTCTGCTTGTGTACAAGTCTCTCCACGGCCTAGCACCAAAGTACATCTCTGACATGTTAGTGCCATATGAACCATCTCGGACTCTGAGGACCTCAGGGACCGGCCTCCTGCTGGTGCCCAGAGTCAGGACTAAACATGGGGAATCA